CATTCCACCCTTAGACAAAACAAACTTATCCGACTCAATAACTTGTTTAAAACCATCAGAATTCAAACAACTAGAGCTAACAAGATTCTTGCGAATCTTGGGAACAAACAAAACATCAAATAATCTAATTGTCTTTCCAGAAGTAAATTCAAGACACACGACACCAAAAACCACAAATAGGAATAAAAGAATCGTCTCCCATTTTCAGCACCGACCCATCTTCAAGCGGAGTTAATGTTTCAAACATCCGTTTATCCTTGCATACATGGTTCGTTGCTCCAGAGTCGATCCACCAAGCAACATCATCATCCTGCACATAGAATGATTCAGGGATAAATGAAACATAATAAACATAATTCTGATTAGAATTATCAAAGTTAGTCAAAAACTGACCTCCTTTAACTTGGGTCGAAGACCCGTTCACTTTCCCATTGGCTCCACTGTTTCCAGCACCATTGTTGCTCAAATTCACACGACAATCACGCTTGCAATGTACAACCTGATTGCACCTCCAACAAACCAGATCCTTTCTCTTTTTTGTTGGAGTTGCTTGGGACATGTTCCTGCTTACGTTTGCCATGTCCTTTGTGGTTCTGGTTCCTTGGTTTGTTTTCAACCATATGAACCGAGGGCTGTCCAGGTTCAACTTTTCCTTTGGGTTTTTCAGATTTGTCACTTTCCTTCGCACGAAGAGATTATTCAATACGAATGTGACTAGCAAGTTGAACCAATGACAGTTCCTCCTTTTGATATTTCAAGTTATGTTTAAAGTCTATCCAGGACGGAGGCAGTTTGTCAATGATAGTGGACACAGCTATGGATTCATCCATATTCATTTTGTGCAGTTTAAACTGTCCGTATATGCCAAGGAGTTCATTGTACTGTTAAGTGACAGACCTTGAATCTTCCATCTTATAATTATTAAAGTCACTAACCAGAAACTTCTTGCTAGAAGCATCCTCAGTAATGTATTTCAGTTCAAGGGTATCCCACAACTTCTTGGCACACAAGGCTTCACTAAGGATATCAAACAAAGCATCAGGCATACCGTTCAGAATGTGACCTTTGCAGATGTAGTCATCATTGTCCCACTTATGTCTCTTTCTTGTCTCTTCAGCCATCTCAACAACACCTTCCTCAGGCTCTCATGGTCTTGGAGTAGTCAGCACGTATGCTGCTTTCAGAGTGGTCAGCATGAAGTGCATCTTTTTCTTCCAGCGCCTGAAATCGACGCCTTCAAACTTCTCCAACTTGGCAAACTTAGTGGTCATCTCGCGGATTGAATCACCCATCTCCAGAAACAGTAAATATCAGTTCGATTGTTGGGAATCTGTAGGGTTTGTGGTGGAGATCTGGATACCAACTTGGATCGTGATATCACTTTCCGAACTGATATTTCTACCCTATGCCTGGGTTACAAGAAATTCATCCTAGGATAATCCAAGTGGACACTTACGTTTCTAGGCACCGAAAACGTAAGCCAATATGCTAAAGGGTTATGTGAATGTGTGATGAAAAACGAGAGCTTAAGAACGTAACCCTCTTCTGGAAAGGAAGAGTTGTTTATATATGAAACACGATTAGGGTTTCATTAGGGTTAGGCCGTCATTAGTTGCTTTGGAAGCAAGTAATATTAATCCGGATTAGGGTTACCAAAACTAACGAGTTTCGTTAGTTTTACCATAATCACCCTCAAGAAATCGAGTTTTCCATTATGTTCCCACATGCAAAATTCGTTGAGGTTTTGGGGCGCTGCCCCTTGGACCCCAGCCAGGGGCTCTGCCCCTTGGACTCCGCTAGGGGCGCTGCCCCTACACCCCGCCAAAGGGGCGCCGCCCCTTTTGAAACCCCGGACCCGGGGACGCTGCCCCCGGACCCCCGACTAGTCGTCGAACCGACTTCTGACTCGATCTTATACATGCGTGCACTCCGTACAACCCCATACATTTATTAGAGTACAAAATCATGAAGCCCCTTACCTCACATGTTAGTTCCAGTTACTTAAAATGACATGGTGACACTAAAATCACCAACAATTATCTCTCCAAACATCGGAGGTACTTATGTAATTTCTATACATTCTTTTCTTTATTCCTTGGAAATATTAAAACATTCCTTGGAAATATCAGTACCCATGGATAAATGCAGAGTGTAGGATCACAACCAATCACTCAAACGAGGAAGAAATTGATCTCCTAAAAATCCTTGTTAAATTGATTGAGTAAGTATATATTTGTTTCTGTAAACTATTTTTCTTTACCATCATCATTATTAAAAACTCTTTTGACAAATTTTTATTGGATCTTTCATTCTTTTTGTTGTGGATTTCTTATAGTTTGTTTTGTTTGTAATACTCCGGAAAGGTTGAGAAGCTCTGGTTAGATCTATCAGTTGAGCGCACTGATGTCAGAATCTTGATGCTTGCTTGATATGTTTCTCTTTTATATTTTTTTTAATGAAATTGAATCTTTTAACTTTTAAGGTAATTCAGTTATTGATAGTTAAAGATATTCCAGGAAAATGAATGCTAAGAGGCAGGGATACTTTACATAGGTATGCCACAAGTGTAAATCTGTCAAGGGTAGTTTGGTCTTTTGACAGCAGAGTCATCTAGATGCTGGTATAAATAGCAGGTCAAGGCAAACCTATTTCAGAATTTACCCTATAAAAATGCCTTCTCTATTGGAAATATTTTAGTATTTATTCTTTCGTTTTGCAACTTATAGTTTAAAAATGAAAACATTAATTTATCGAATTATACATGGCCTCTTATACCTGATAGAGTTTGTTTACCAGAAAATATAGACATATGTTGACAGATAAACATAGATACAATGGTTCGGTTATACAAACATCACCAAACTTTTAATAACTGTATCAAAGTGGATTTCAATTGTTGGCTATATTTTGCTAAATTTTCTCATCTAATTTCATTTACATGGTAAACATGATTGTGATTTGCAGCCTAAATACGTTGAAATTTTGATGCAACCATTGATTGCAAAATGGCAGCAACTTTCAAACTCAGACAAAGATCTTTTCCCACTTTTGGAGTGCTTTACATCCATAACACAAGTATTATTTCTGTTTCTTATCAGTTTTATTGTAAAAAACTAAAAAACTAAGAGGCCTTTGGATAAAGCCCGCCCGGTCCAAAAAAAAGCCCAGTCTCCAAAACTTTAGCACCGAAATCTTGTTAAGTTCCTCGGATGTAGCATATAGGGAGATTAAAAGTTGTTATGAGTACATGCCAAACAGAAGCTTAGACTTGTGTTTATTTGGTCAGACTCACATAATTGTCATTAATTTAACGTTTACGAACTAAGCATTCACCGAAACTGAATATGACTAAATCTTCGTGTTGGGCAGATAAGACACAAAGTTCTCAACTTGATTGGACATACAACACGTTTTAACACTATCAAAGGAATTGCTCGAGGACTTCTTTATCTGCATCAAGATTCACGATTAAGAATCATCCATAGAGATCTTAAAGCTAGCAATGTTTTACTTGATTTGGACATAAACCCTAAGATATCATATTTTGGCGTGGCTAGAAGATTTGGAGGAAACATGACTCAAGCAAACACACAAAGAGTTGTTGGCACATAGTAAGCTAGATAATGCAAGTGTATATAAATTCTCCTTCTCTTGAGTTCATTTTTTTTATTACATTTACTTAATATTGGAATAATTATTTGTATTTGACATATTAGTGAAATGAATTATCTTTGTTATTTATGGTATTTTATTTTGTATTATTGGAATAATTATTTGTATTTGACATATTAGTGAAATAAACTTCGTAAATGGTTGCTGAAGTTTATGACACGCAAATGCGTGTCATCTTCATTTATGACAGAAGCTTTAATGATACGCAATGCGTGTCCTAAACGCGCGTCGCAAGGTTACTATACGCAAATGCGTGTCGTCTTCCTTTATGATAGGACCTTCTTTGATACGCATTGCGTGTCGTAACTGCGCATCGTAAATGCGTCATAAATGCGCGTCGTAAATAGACGACACACAAAAGCGTGTCGTCTCTCGTTATGTCAGGGCCTTCCTTGACACGCATTTGCGCGTCGTATGAGCGTTTTACGACACACATTGCGTTTCGTAAAAGGCTGTTTTTCTAGTAGTGTCCCGCCATTAAAATACTTGATCCAGTTTTTAGGTTTTAAAAACATTGTAAAATATATAAGAGGAGATTTTGACGCAAGAGTTGCCGTTTTCTGCACATGGAGCCCCACACGAAGAACAACAATAATCACTCTTTTTTCCAACTGGATTTCAATCCGTACTACTAAATCAATGGAATAATCTTGAGCAATTTTTGTGTAGAAAATGACAAAAAATTAAGATGAATTTGTATACCTCGTTTGAGAAATTGAATGGTACTCGTTTGAGAAATTGAATGGTCATTTTATTTTTATTATAATTAAAATGATTGTAAAATATAAATAATGATTATAAAATATATAAACATATATTTAAAAAATAGAATAGGACAAATATGATATTTTAAAATTTTCTGAAGGGTAAATATCATATTTAAAAATTAGGTTTGGCAAATATAATATTTTAATGTTTATTAAGGTTAAGGATATACTTTTAATTATCTTTAAACTTATGAAAATATACCTAAAAATTCCAAATTGTAACTCACAAACGAGCCATTTGGTACATAGCCTCTATTTGTGTGTGGTGAAGTTAGTCCATCCAAAATGTTGTGATGGTTTGGAACAAAAACAATGTTGGAATTATCAATTACCATTATCACATTCTAATTTTGAGGAAACAATTTAATTGGAAAACCGGAAAAAACCTCGTTTAAGTTTTATGATATTTACAAACAGAATAATTGTTTCAATGTTAAAAGACAATACCCCAGGTTACATACTTACATTTTCATAATAAAAATTATATTACACTGTACAGACATCATAAACTATTTTAGCTGAAAGGTGACACCCACATGCTTACGTCCACGCTTGACCAAAATGTTAGCTTTTTCCATTGCACGTAAAAGTAAAGTTAACAACCAATCCCTCATTATGATTAGTTGTAGAAGTGTAGTCCTTAAAGAAGGTGAGAGATATCTATTTAGGAAACTTAATACTTCATTTATGTAACCTTAAATATTATAAGGTTCCTATTTTATTTTTTTTGGTATTATATTTGTTGTTCAATTTCAGGTGTTAGCATAAGCATGGGGTCACTTTTCCTAATTGGAATCGGCTATGCATTATACAAACTAATAAAGAAAACTAACGTCAAGAGAAGGAAACAAAGGTGGTTTCGCAATGGTTGTCTACTTCTTAAACAACAAGAAGCAGGTTATATTAGTTTAATTGGCAAAACCATACTATTCACATCCAATGAACCGGAGAAGGCCACTGACCACTTTAATGAAAATAGGATTCTTGGACGAGGAGGTCAAGGTACAGTGTATAAAGGCATGTTAACGGATGGAAGGATCGTACCAATCAAGAAATCAAAGATGGTGGATGAAAGCCAACTAGAACAATTCATCAAGGAGGCAGTTATTCTTTCACAAGTCAATCATAGGAACGTGGTCAAATTACTGGGATGTTGCCTAGAGACCGAGGTGCCACTACTTGTCTCTGAGTTTATCTCAAATGGTACCTTGTATGACTTTATTCACGATGAAACCGGTGCGTTCTCAATCTCTTTAAACATGAAATACAAATCGCGACAGAGGTTGCAGGAGCAGTTTTGTACTTACATTCAACAACCTCCATTCCTATATACCATAGGGACATCAAGACTACTAACATACTTTTGGATGAAAAGTATCGAGCCAAAGTTTTAGATTTTGGAACTTCAAGATTTGTATCAGTAGATCAAACTCACTTGACTACGTTAGTCAAGGGGACATTTGGTTATTTGGATCCAGAGTACTTCCAATCAAGTCAGTTCACCGAAAAAAGTGATGTTTATAGTTTTGGAGTTGTTTTCCTAGAACTCTTGACAAGAGAAAAGCCAATCTCCTTAACTAGATTTGGTGGAAATAGAAGTTTAGCTACACACTTTTTGTTAGCCATGGAAGAAGGTCATGTTATGTCTATTTTTGATGCAATGGTTGTTAAAGAGGGTTCTAGGACTGAGTTATTAGCTCTAGCAAACTTGGCAATGCGAAGTTTGAATTTCAATGGGGAAAAATAGGCCAACAATGAAAGAAGTCACAACTGAGATAGAAGGCATCAGACTGTCACATGTGCCCGCTATGGTTGAAACTAATACTGGACATGTGAAGCTTTGTGAGGAGGTATAACTATCATATGCCGAATCAACATCAACATCGATGACATTTGATTACAACCCTAGTCAATGAATGTTGGTAAATGTTAAGTTTCTATAATTAAGTCTTAGTTTCTACTATTATAACTATGTGTTGATATGTAACTTATATCTAAGAGTCAAAGAGTTTGGCATATAGAATATATCTCTTTCTTCTTCAACATGTATCTAGCTTAAGATTGTGGCATTTAAAAATCCATTGTATGAACTTTTATCGGTTGTACTCTTAATAACTAAAATATTTGTTTTGTGTTGAGTATTTGGGTTTTATCATCAACCTCTAGAATGCAGTTCTTAATAAATATACTAGACTTATTTGTATATACAATTTAGAATCTTATTAAAATTGTTTAAATTCTCAAAATAGACTCTTGAGAAAGTCAATTGCTTCAAATGCCTTCTTCATATTATATTTCACATTTAATACATTGGTGGATTTTGTTATCATTTATGTGCATAATTGATTAGATACAAACTTCTTGAGAAAGTCAATTGCTTCAAATGTATTCTTCATATTGTAATTCAAATTCAATAAATTGGTGGCTTTTGTCAACATTTCCGTGCATAATTGATTATCCGGGTTAATCCTTAATGCCTGCTCAAACATACTAAGTTACTTGCACATAAAAAATTAGATGATGCAATCGTATTAGTAGTTTTCAAAAAATTGAAATTCTAAACTAAGTATTGTACTTACTAGATTACATCACAAATAGAAAATGTAAGCTAGATCCTACAAGGGCCATTTCTATAATATGTGAATGCTTCATTGCACGACCTCCTTCCAAAAAAAAAAAAACAAACAAACAAATCCAATGGCAGAAACCACTAGCTAGTGTCATAGTATGAGACACGACTCCATGATTTTCTTATGTTCTCATCCGGGAAGCACCCTGGTATCAGTGTGTGGCTGTTTGTGGGTTATGCATGTAGATCCTTGGGATTATTGATCATCATGCTAGCTAGTGCTATGGTCTGAGACACGTCTCCCTAATTTTCTTATGTTCTCAATTGGGGGTGGGGGGAGGGAGCAGGTATCAGTGTGCGACTGTATGTTGGTCATGGATGTGGTTCCTTTCGGGTATCGACCATCATGCTAGCTAGTGTCATGGTCCGAGACACGTATCACTAATTTTATTATGTTCATAGGTGGGGGCGTCCCTAGTATCGGTGTGCGGCTGTTTGTAGGTCATGGATGTGGATCCTTGGGGGTATCGCCCATCTCGCTAGCTAGCTAGTGTCTTGGTCCGAGACACATCGCCCAGATTTTCTTATGTTCTTATCCGGGGGGCACCCTTCTATCAATGTGCGACTGTTTGTAGGTCATGAACGTTGTAACGTCCCATTTTCACAACCAAAAATTTTCATTTTTATTAAGGTAAAGCTCCACAATATAAAATCTTTATTAAGAAATCATGTATTCCAAAATACATTTATTGAAATCAGAGTAATATAATAACGCTGAATCTTCATTGCTACTGATTAATGTGTACAGTTACGCCTTCGCCTTCCCACGATGACCGATAATACCTGAAAAAATAGTTGGGTAAGCACGAAGCTTAGTAAGTTCCCCCAAAATACCCCACACTCAACTATATACAGTACATGCATAGATACATTCCTACAATGAACCTGGACCGCCTCACGAGGCCTATAGGGTGCGTGGACTGCTCTACTGAGCCTACAATCTATTTGCCCGCCTCGCAAGTCCTTCAGTAGTTTGGAGCGCTCCTGAGCCTACAACATAAGGATGGATCGCTCCCTTGGGCCTCCAATATTAACTAGACCTCCCGGGTATGGTGGCCTGCCGCCTTAACCAAACCGCTCTTCCCAAGCCTCCGTGACTATGGCTTACAGCCAGCTCGGACCTGGTCTCTTGGCCTACAACACACAGCAGGACCGCCTCAACCACATCTGCCACCATATGTTGACATATAAACAGAAAAGAGATCAAGTAGGCACATAAATATAGGCAACTATCAATCATACGGTTCGCTACCACTTACTAGACCCTTCACAACACATTGCTCTGCTACCGAAAACTCTCCATGGAATGTGCGACCATAAGGAACCAAAGGTTAGATAGCCACCCGAATAGATGATCCCATTCTAGAACCACAACCAAACAAGGAACATGTAAGAACGCCTAGATTACGAGTTCTCAGGTAATCCTACGTGGCTATATACAGTTTCTGGGGCACTCCACTAGACGATACCAGCCTACTGGTACTCTAACCAGTATACCACTATTGCTGCATCCTAATACAAGGATATATATATATATATATAGATATTTATATATATATATATATATATATATATATATATATATATATATATATATATATATATATATATATATATATATATATATATATATAACAGCCCACTACAACACAACATCATCCTATAGAAAAGGATACATAACCAAAACTAGTGGGCCAACATTGGTGCCTTCGACCCACGGTACAGTCAGGAAAACTCACCTGAAATGAAAAACCCAGAATACTGCGACACGCTTCCCTTTCTGCACTGCTTGCTCCCACGAGCCCTCTAACACCAAAATATAGAAGAATCTTAATTAACAATACAAATCCTTCATGTTTGACCCAAAGTTAAACTTTTGAAAAAGTCAACGGTCAACGGCCCATCACGATGTGACACGGTGACGCCGTGAGCCACCAAACGATAAAATAGTTGCATCCCTCATTCCTCACGACATGACAGGCATAACCTCACGTCATGGGAACTGTCTGAATGACATTTTGATGAATAAAACCCCTTAATCCATGAAGCCACTAATCGACCTCCTCCAGAAGGTTTCCTAACATACCAAGAAATATAAAAGTGGATGCTTGAAGGTCTTGCATGTCCAATGCAAGACTTGGGCTCAAATTAAAGCATTTATGAAGAAAAAGATGGTCCAAACTTAAGCATGAGCTCAAACATCACCCAAACTTCAGATCCACCATATATAATAACCAAGGTACTTTAAGGACCCATAAAGTTGCCAACTTTATGGAGTCCCAATACTCTAACTCATCTAAGCATTGGCAATCATCCATAAAATCCAAGATATACCAACAAAGAATCATAAAGCTTGAACCTTGGTTACTCACAATGGTCTAGAGATGTTGATAGAGCATGAAAATGAAGCTTCCAAGATGAAACCATGCTCCAATGGTGATCTCTACTTCTTCAAGCCACCAAAACACCACAAAAAGCTCAAGAATCACAAAGATAGGCTAGGGTTAGGGCTTTTCTATGGTTGAGGATGAAGGAGGATGTTAATGATCCCTAAAATGAAGTTTATGGGGTTTAAATACAAAGGAAAACCTAAAATATCATGGGCTTGGACTGCAGCCCATCTCACGTCGTGAGCACTAGGGTCTCATGTCGTGAGCCCAATCAAATCCGCGTTTTGACTTAATCACTTTTCACGTCGTGGCCTCTCTATGGTCACGCTGTGACACTTGGTTTTACCTAAAAACCATGCCTTTGACTGCTTTATTCCTTAAACTGATCCTTTCTGCAAACTAGGTGTTATAATTCTCCCCTACTTAAATTAGATTTCTTCCTCGAAATCGGTTCTCGCTTCCACTCTCGGAGTAACCTTTGTGGGTACTTCAAAATCGACCCTTTCCAACCGGTCTGAGATCCCTTGAATGATAGAACCTACAACCATCAACAACCAAGGTTCCAAAACCAGGACCATGAGCCAATTCGAGCAGAGATTCTAGCTGTCTGAATGACAACTACTACGACGTCCCCTGATAAATGGTCCACCTCTCGACACCTCTTTAGGTTTAACGAGAAACAAGCAACCTGACCGAATGCACTACTCTACAGAACCTATTTACCCCGCAAGAAGAATCCACTTCTTATTCGAGGAACTATGGAACCTGAAATCATGCACCACCTTCAGGTAGACCGAACCATCCCAATTTTCACCCACGCTAACCAAAACTACTGTATTGTCCCATCTTTGCAACCAAAAAATTTCATTTTATTAAAGTAGAGCTTCCCATTTATAAATCCATTTTAAAGAAAACCATTTAATCCAAATACATTTACTGAAACCAGAGTAATAATAAAGTGTTTAATCTTCAATTGTACTGATGAATGTGTACAGTTATGCCTTCGCCTTCCCATGACGACCGATTATACCTGAAACAATAAACATCTGAGTAAGCACAAAGCTTAGTGAGTTTCCCCCAAAATAGCCCATACGATAAACATTGAGAATGCATCAGGTCCACTCAGCCTTCGGGCTGGAATACCCAGGGTTTGTTGGCCTACTGCCTCAACCCAACTGCTCTTCCCGAGTCTCCGTTCCTACGAATTACAGCCGGCCCGCACCGGGTATCTTGGCCTATAGCACAAAGTAGGTTCACCTTAACTCACTACTACCATATGTCGACATATAATCATGATCAAGTAGGCACATAATACATGCAAACAACAATCATACAACTCGCTACCACCTACTAGTCCTCTCACATCACACAATCCCGCTACCATCTAACTTCGATGAAATGCATAACAATAAGTAACCAGAGGTGAGATAGCCACCCGAATAGATGATCCTACTCTAGAGCCACAACCAAAACAGGGAACAAGCAAAAAATCCTAGATCAAGAGTTCTTAGGCTATCCTACATGACCACATATAGTACCTAGGGCACTCCACTAGATGATAACTAGCAAGTACAGGTAAACATACAGATCTACAGATCACTACCGCATAGAAACATCGTATATACCAGGATACAGATCTAACAGATCACTACAGCATAGCAACATCCTATATACCAGGATACAGATCTAACAAATCACTACAACATAGCAACATACTAAATACCAACA